CATTGATTGATTCTCTTTATCGACATTCTTTTTTGTTAATAACTCAGCTGCAAAACCTTTTCCGGTTGTATTTGACGTTTTGGACGGTAGATAAGAACCTCCTTTATCAAACTATGTGGTGAAATCAGCGCGAAATCTGTTTGCATAGAAGTGGTTATCTTAAGGAAAAGTCGATGCATGATATTGCATCAATACATATAGGACCATTTTAAATGTTCATCGAGAAATGATCTTAAAGATAGAGCACTTAGGGTAGGTGTTCCAGCAATAGTGGTGTACCTATAGTTGCGGTATGGAGGTTGTGCTGGAATAGTAAGGAGGATCCGGATAAGATTACTTTTCATCGGTAGCTCTCCTTAAATAAAGCATATTTGCATATATAAAACTTAAAATATGCCCAAAAGTGACGGAAAATAATTAATTTTCCTAAAGATTTTCACTCCTTTGCACCTATAGTTGCGGTAGTGTTCCTATAATTGTGGAACCCATAAGAAACCAACGCATTCCACTATTATAGGAAACAAAGTTAGCATTACCACAACTACTGGAACAGTTTTTCTATTAATGGAGCGTCCTCTTTCTAAAATTTTATGCAATGTAATATTTTTCTATCAAAATAGAGGTTGAAAGCTATAGATTGACGTATAACAATTGTGTGTACACGTATATTAATTTTTTAATTAATAAATTGGCTTAGTACCTCCACTACTGGCTCACCCACCCTAGAAGCTCTCGTATTTTCATTAGAAAATACGAGGAGTGCTTTACCGGCCTCATGGAGCGAATAGCCTCGACAGAACTGAGACTATCCGTAAAAATAAAGCAGTGACCTGGTAAAAGTGAGGCGATAGTTTCAAGCGTATAATGTATTGCCGCCAGCTCAGCAATATATACGGAACAAGGAGCTTGAAGCATTCGAGAGGCGCTATGAAATTCGTTATGAATACCAAAACCAGCGGACGCCTCTACTAGTAATCCATCTGTGAAGAACGACCTTGCGTTATCAACTTGGCCAAACTTTGCAGCGAAAATTGACGGAACAATCATGGAACGATGATGTTCTGGGATTCCGCGGATCTCTTGCGTCATAGATAAATCAAAACTAACTGAATTGCCGAAGTCGGAGAAGCATACACGGTGGGTTATGTACCCATAGTACAATGACATAAAACGAGGTTGAGGGTTTAGCTCAAGAAGCTTCTCAAAATTTCCGATTACCAATGGGTTCATAACTTCTCAACGGGTTGTAACCGTTTAGTTACAATATCCTAGGTTTTAATTTGTGCATGTTGTTTTTGGAAACTGTAGTGTTTTTTTTGTGTCAGTGTTGGGTTAGTAGGATTAGGATTGTTGGTAAAATTGCTGTAAATTGAAAAATTTATAAACTTGTGTTAGTAGGATTAGATTGAAATTGATATTTTTATAAACTTAATTGGGCGAGACAGGATCGAAAGGGTGTTGTGATCAACTGTGGTAGAAAAACTGAAAAGGCGAAGAAGATGATATGGATGGGTGGTGATAATCTGCAAGGAAGGACAATGGATGATATAAGGAACGAATTGAAAACTGGTCGGGAAAAGAGGGCTTTTGGTAGCTGGGATGGTCAACCATTGCCCAGAAGAATACCGGCGTTCGTTCAAAGTGCAGTGAACAACCTCCTTCTGTTCCGTTCAGGTAACTTAGTTTGACCAAATTTGATCTAGGCTTGGTTTTAAACAACCATTTGTCCTTCAGGATCTTATTACTTGTTCCGCGAATATCCTCACGATCGACACGATTCAACCAAGTCAGTCTCGACTGTCTTGGTCTCAAACTCAAGGACCTTCCACTGTCCGGCTTGTAATTGCCAGAAAGGAGAGAATCCTCGGACTCGGAAGTCCTAATCGTTAAGGAGGAAGACCCTTCTCGGCTCGACCAAGGTGGCCTTGTCACGGACAGCTGATATTTGCCAACGAAGGGAGACGCCGTTGTCAACAGAAAAGGCTACTTCGGTCGCTACATTCCCTGGTTGCGAACCGCCATCGCAACGCTCAAACACAAGCCTCCGATCCGCCATTATCGTGACCACAGCTCCAGTCGCCAGGCACCATCTTCCACACCAGTTGAAGCCACCGATCCACCATTGTCGACGGAGTGATCAAGCCACGGACCGCCATCGCGGTCAAACAACATCGGCCTCAACACAATCACCACCCGCGAGCGCTCGCCATCGTCGAGAAAACACCACCGGTACGTACCAAAGAAGCAGAAACCCATAGAACACACCCCACAATTGCCCAATAAAACCATCCGCAGCATAATACCATTTTAAAAATTTTCTAGACTTTTTCCACCCACACTTTAGCTTTCAATTAATTTCACCATCACTAGAGAAATCCCACAGTTTCTGCACACTTTGTTTCGCGTAGCACCTCCGAATTACCCAGTAGCATGCCGGCCCTGTGACACAGTTCAGGGGTCTCATGCTACTGAGCTAGTTATCCGGGAGTCTTGGTTGAGCCACTAGGGTGAGTCTCATCCATGCTTGGCATGCACAGTTGTACACACCAACTGCTCATTTCTTAATAACTTTTCACTCAGTTGTTGAAATTGGTTTTTATGCAATGTAATTTATAGATTAGGATCATAGTTTAGTATCGATATGCAAAGAGTAGGTAAATCTTAACATTTGAAGCAACACCAATTAATTTTTACACTTAAAACAAATACAGTTTATTACTAGAATTAAAATCAACTTTTTTCACGTATACATAAGAAGCTTAAACTCAACTCTATCAACTGATTCAAAAAGAACTATGTTTCGTCAACTGTCAGTAAAATTATTAGCAAATGAGCACTTCGTGACCAAAACTGTGTATGCCAAGCATGGTCTCATCTAGTCTCAGGTTGAGGAGCCTGAGGGACAATTCCGAAAACCGATTCGAGACTCATCGTATGAGTCGAATGCATGCATCCTAACGCGATACGAAGACAGCGATACTGGATCCGTTCCAGTTTGATGATGTGAAGATCTTGCGGATGGGCTCCCCACCACGTTCCATTAATTGTACGGAGAAATGTGATCCTTTGTTGGCACTTCCACTTCAGATACTCAATGTGGGATCTCCAGGTGCATTTAGAATCGAACCAGACTCCAAGATATTTGAACACATAGAATGAGTGATCGGTTTACCCTAAATTTGAAGCTTCCTTTGTGCTGGGATATGATTCCTAGAAAAAAAACGACCAACTCAGTTTTCTCCGTAGAGAATTCGATACCTAGATGGATAGTAGAGTGATGCAAAATTTGAAATTTTCGCTCCACAATACTTAAACGATTCCAAATCTGATCCTGAATAACCTCTCAAAATTTGAACCCATTTGGTGAGAAACTGAGATGGCACAAACCATTTGAAGTTTGTATGGGAATTACTATGGTAAAACCAAGATTTTTGTTCATGTCTATCTAATAATTCACCATATCGGTTTGTTTCAAAAACTTTCAACTGTACTTGTAGGAAATTTTCCCAGCTACAACTTTGCTGAAGACCATTTTTTGATTAAATGCAAGGATCGAAAGTTATCCATTGTTCAATGCGCTGATGTCTTATGATCATGCTCAATCAACTGATCAGCAGGCAACATTGGTGTTTCTGGGGCGTTGAATAAGACACAAAAATCATGGCTACTATGTCACACTGCAAAATACAGTGTTGCCTACAGAGCAGCTGCTTGATCATGTCATAAGTTTACCAATCTCTTAAATAATTAATAACTTTTTTCTGTCTCGTTTTACATAGAAACAATTTTCAGCAAAGTTGTAGCTGAGAAAATTTTCTGTAAGAATTGCTATCGAACTGTTTTGCAGCTCAATATGGAAAAAGACTAGAAGGCAATGAACAAAAAGTTGAGATTTCCCATAGTAATTTACATGTAAACTTCAAATGGTTTGTGCGAAGTCTGTTTCTAACCAAATGAATTGTAACTTTTGGAGGCTAATCAGGACTCGATTTGAAACCATTTAAGCACTGTGGAGCAAAAAAGTCAAATTTTGCATCAGTCTAATGGATAGCCCAAGTAGAAAAATTGTCTAAGGTTTCCGGTAAGGGTCCTTGCAGGTCGACCCCTTTGGGCCCTGTCATAGACACTACGCTGTCATCTGCAAGTTGTCTCAACGTGCAGTTGTCACTTAGACATTTGTCAATTTCTCTGACGTAGAAATTATTCAAAAGGGGGCTTAAACATGAGCCCTGGGGGAGACCCACATAACTAAATCGAGAAGCTGTAGAGTTTCCATGAGAAAAGCTCATATGTGTCTCTGACAGCAAATTGTGTAAAAATTTATTAATTAATAGAGAAAGGCCACAAGCGTGGAGTTTGTCTGAAAGGACTTCAACCGATACTGAATCAAAAGCCCCCTTGATATCCAAGAATACAGAAGCCATTTGCTTTTTTTTTAGCAAAAGCCAACTGAATTTCTGTGCATTGCGAGGCAGTCGTTCGTTACCTTGTCCCTACGGAAACCAAATTGAGTATCTGAGAGCAGGTGCATTCCATATGAACGCTAATATCGGCTACTATAAATCGGTAGTATTTAGTAGTGCTCAGTCGTAGAAAACCTAATCAGATTAAAGCTGAAAGTCTAACGAATCGTTTGAATACATACAGCGAAGTGATCTAGTGACAAAAATTTAGTGAAATTATCGTATAAATGTTTGTTGCCGAAAACCGTCAATGGGTGCCGAAGCCGACATTTACCCTGCCACAATTGTAAAAGCGAAAAGATTTTCGATGTCTCTCGTCGTCACTGACACTTAAACGATCTGCATTCAAGTTCGAAAGCACCAACGTCGATTGAAATGTGCTACAACGAGTGCTGTATATCGTTCGGAATATTTATAGCAGTGCCTAATTCCCTTCTGAAATCTCATCACTCCAACGGAACCGTTCTCTCTGCCCCATGCATGAGCGACACAATAGTGTGGAAAATTGGCACACGTCAAAAGCGGGAAATCACTTACCTCCTGATGTGCATCCTGATGGTGATTGCACACACACACACACACACACACATACACACAGAGAGAAGGTGGCAGCTGTTGAGTGATGTGAATACGAGTATATGGTGGTGCAAAGGTTGCTCCTAGTATTACAGCTTTCCCCGTCGAAAAGCGGCGCTCCGGTGCGTCCCGAACAGGATCCGCTTGAACGCCTGCCGGAACTCGGGACTGAAGATGGTATAGATGACCGGATTGAGCGTCGAGTTGAAGTAGCCCAGCCAGAGGAACAGCGACATCACCGTATCGTTGATGTAGCAGGCCTCGCACAGGGGCAGAAGCAGGGCCATCAGAAAAAATGGCAACCAGCACACGACGAAGGCGCCGGTGATGATGGCAAGCGTTTTGGCCGCTTTGCGTTCCCGCTTCGCTTCCAGAGTTTCCTTCCGCTTGGAAACCTGGGCGTGCGGGTTCGGGTTGCTGGCAATGTTCAGCGTCGATCCAATGTGGGTGTGAGACCCGCTGAGCATGGTGGGTGAATGTTGAATCGGGGGCATCAGAGCGTTGCTGCTCGTGGGCCGTACTGGTGCTTGCTGCTGTGGCTGTTGCGGATTTGCCTGAGGGACTGCCGATAGCTGATGAGCATTGGTACCCTCGGATGAGGAGTTGTTGTTGTTGTTGTTGTTGTTGCTGTTATTGTTGTGATTGTTATTATTTGCTTCCACCGGATCTGACAGCTGCCGGTGATCCACCTCATGGGAAACGGTGGGGATTTGACTGTTTCCCATGGCTGTTGTCGGTGTCTGTGAATAGAATGAGAGGAAATACTATGTTAGCGGATTATAAGGGATAATGCCTGCAGTTTGTTTCAAATGACATCGATGGAAATTTTATGGACCATTATCCTGCTGTGTCGGATTTGTGAACAGATTTCAAATACGTCGGATACAAAAAAAACAGCTTGGAAGGTACTGCTATTTGAGCGCGGGCCAAAAAGTTAAAAACTAATGAAAATTTAAAACCTAATAAAATTAATTCGTACTCAGTTAACTTAATTTAATGATAAAAACTACAAGGAACAGCCCTATGGGGTTTTACGCAATGATGACGTAGGACTACGTGGAATTGTTATTTGTTAACTGCAGCAGAAGCTTGAGTTTTGTGCAGGAATAGGAATTTGAGCGGGGCTCTCTCTGTTTACACTCTTTAGAATGACTATGATTGCCCTGAAAAGTACCTTTTGATATGAATTTTAGTTGGGGCATGTTCAGAAATTTATCTCTTTTGGAAAATCTTGGCTCTGAAAAGGGTTGATGGTAGTACAGGTTTAAGGCCTTTGGAAGATGATGATGACGTGTAGGCAGCTGGATAAGCAAATCACACCGGAGCACATTACTTCCAAATTCGATAACAAGATCAACAACAAAATTGAGTGCCTTGGACCACATTGGCCACTTCCGGCATGTTCTGGGTGCCCCCGGGGAATTTAGGGGCTTAAAATGACCGAATATCATAACTTAATTCCGGTTTTATAGTTTTTTTTCTCCTATGAGTTTTTTTTTCGGAAATAGGTTTCAGTTAACAATTTTTAGTTTGATAACATTTTATTCCAAGTTAATTCACACACAGAAGGTGTATGAGAAGTGCTTAATGTAAATTCATATTAACAGATTCTTTCGGCGCTTTCGTGGTAGTTCGGAAATCGGCGGTTACCCTTTCAGCCAACCTGACGATGGAATTCCTCCTTTAAATTTACGCCCAACTAGTGACGCAAGGTCTTTAGCAGCTTCCAAGATCTTTTTGGTCGTCTTGGGACTGCCAGAAGCAGCGCACATACAAACCCAATCCCCTAACTGGTTCTCCAAATCAACACTCAACACTATTTCCCTTCCGTATTTCTTGCCGTGGCTTCCCTTAATTTTTGCGTGAAGTGTCGTTTTCGGAATATTGTACCTTTTCTGTGCCTGGTACGCGGTAAGTGATTTATTTCTTACTAAAAGAACAGCCTCTTGAAGATTTTCGACCGTATAACTCTTTTCTTTAGCCATTTTTTCAATCGAATAAACTGATCACTCGGCCAAAACGAAATCGAATTTCAAATCAGCTGCGCGTAGGATGTAGACAAACCGAAGCGCACCTAGCGGCCGTCTTAGGAAACACATAGGTCCAACCATCATCATGCGTTGGTCCAACCATGATCATATTTAACTATTCGAATTTCGTCAATTATTCAAACATTTTAGTGAAACCAATGGATAAATGGCGTACTAACGTGCTGTTTACACCTTAAAGCAGTATTTTACTGCATGAAAATAAAAATAAATGTAAAAAGTATTCCTTTTTTGTATGTTTGAAAGCAAGGCATAATGACGAGCTAATGCGTGGAAAGTGAACTGTTTTGAAAACTCATTGAAACTCAATTGTTTTGAAGTTTTTTCAATAAAAAACCCATGCAAATTGAAGAAAATGAGTTTTTTATGATAGTAAAGTGATCTTTGAAAAAAAAAAAAAAAATAGCGAAGATTGACTAAGCTAGCGATTGAAAAAATAGGTCCAACCATCATCAGTTTTTGGATAGGTCCAACCAGAATCAATTACCCTAGATGGAATCGGAGAAATTAAAAATGAAGGTGGATTTTGCGAGTCCTGTGCAGAGAGCAAGATGACCCGGTTGCCATTCAACAAGAGTCGACCGAGCACAACAAGCCCACTGGAGCGTGTTCATACGGATGTTTGCGGCCAGATAACACCGAAAACAGTAGATGGGTATTAGTACTTCGTGTCGTTTATCGATGACTATACTCATTTTGCTGTTATATATTTGATGAAACGGAAGGACCAAGTGTTTGATTTCTTCAATGTATACGAGGCCATGGCAACGGCATTTCAAGTTGAATCAACCGTTGGTTATACACCACAGCATAACGGAGTAGCAGAGAGGTTCAACCGGACCATTGTGGAAAAAATGAGGACTATGTTAGCTGAATCCGGAACACCGAAATCTATGTGGGGCGAAGCAGTATTGAATGTAGTGTACACAACAAACCTAAGTCCAACTGAAGCGTTGAAACAAAACTGTACCACGGTTGAATGTTGGCACGGTGAGAAACCAGATGTTGGGAAACTGAGAGTGTTCGGATGCCAGTCATTTGCATGGGTTCCGAAACAAAAGAGGAGCAAGTTGGACCCAACCGGTTTGCGCAGTGTGATGCTGGGCTACGCACCAACCGGTTATCGTCTGTGGAATCCAAAAACGAGGAAAATGTTCGTGGCACGAGATGTGAAATTCGACGAGACAAGTTTTCCGTTCAAGACACCAGAGAAATCGCTGGAGGAAGAATCAACTTCGAAGATGGTGATTCCTGAAGTTATTCCAGCCGTTGAAGAGATCATTACAGATGACGTGCAGCCAACGAATGAATTTGAAGATGACCATCAAGAGCTGTCCGAAGATGAGTTTGAAGATGTTGACGAAGTTGCTGACAACACTAATGAAGAAGGCGCATCGGCGCTCCCACCACACTCGAAGAATGGAAATAACTGTGAGGAGTGTGTTCCGAGGTCTAGTGGTCGGGAGCGCAGGACCCCAGGTTGGTTAGCTGATTTTATTGCCCCCTATAGAGCCCTTTCTGCTGCTGATGAATCCCGACAGGTTCCGACATGGTACGATGAGGTTGACGGTCATCCGCACGAGACGGAATGGAGGCAAGCAATAGCTGACGAGCTAAGGTCTTTGAAGAAAAACCAAACCTGGACGATGGTGAGGTGCCCTAATGCAGTGAAGCCTGTGCCGAGTAAATGGGTGTTCACGTACGCTACGAGGCTCGCCTGGTTGCCAAAGGGTACATGCAGCGGAAGCACGTGGACTATGAAGAGACGTTTGCTCCAGTGGCAAAGCTTTCAACTATACGGACGATTCTAACGATTGCGACGAACCGAATCCTGAAGATCCATCAAATAGACGTAACAACGGCGGTCCTTAACGGCGTTCTCCAGGAAAAAGTGTACATGCGTGTTCCAGAGGGGGTAAGCAGTCAACCGTCTTGTTGAAGAAATCGCTATAGAGCATTTCCAGCCCAAAACGCAAACCGGTTGGACATGAGTGTTTCCGATTTGAATGAAACATTTCTCACGTGTTCGCTGCTACTAATGGTTGCATTTTTCATTTAAATATGATTTTTTCCTCCAGAGTAACTATTAAAAAGGGCGTATAAAAAAAAGATAATTTTTTTTTCAAAAAATCATAACTTGAAAACTATTGATCTGATCAAAATGGCATATGAGAAAAAGTTTTAGGTAGTTAAATTATCTTTGCGAAAAAAAATACATTAAAAGAAAAAACTTCGTAAATTAGTATTTAAAAAACGTTAAACGATGATTATCTCAAAACACCTTCCCTTCGATCTTTATAAAAAAAAATTTCAAAAAAGCTGAGAAAATGCCCTAATATTTGGTGAAGAGTGTATGCTGGTAACTTTCTTTAAAAAAAATCTATAATTTTTGAAATTTTTGTTGGTTTTTAAAAGTTGGTGAAATTGCATATTTTTTAGTAAAATAAAAATTTATTTGGATTTTACGCATAATTTTCAAAAACTTTGCACATCAAACTTTTTTCCTAAGTCCAGCCGTTCTCAAGCTAATGCAATTTAAAAAAAATAATTATAATAATTTTCTACATTTTGGGCTATTTTCAAATGTTAGTCGTGATGTCCAGCAACGAGATGTTTTTCCATGAATATATATTAAAAAACAAACAATTCATTCTCAAATATGGTAGCTGTCAGACTTACCCGTTTCTATTTAGACGCAGCGGAAAAGAAACAAGTTTATAAGTAAATACTCTCAAATATACCCAAATAATCAACAAACCCACTCATGTGCCTTTTTCTGTCCTCTATTAGTTGTATACCTGGATAGAATTGTGTATGTCATAACAGTGGCTCAAAACATAAACAGGTAAACAAATATGTTATTAAACCTGTAATAGAGATAAATTATCTAGGTACTTCTCTGACGTATACCATATTGTGCCTTAAGAGCTCATCCCGCGATATCACAACTACATAAAAAGGCACCCCGTGGAGGCTTCTTACACTCACACTTGAAAAAGTTTGCTATAATCAATTGTACCTAATGAAGATAGGTATACTGTAAACATTGTAATTATTCGGCTACATATATATATGTTGCAACACCGCAGAGGTGAATCTCCAACACCGCTAGATTCACTACCCCACGTCTTTGAACTTTGCCATCAGCGGTCCTCACGTTCACCTGTCGGATTCGTCCATCCGAACCCTTGGTTACCGCTTCCACGATACCTCGTCTCCACCACTTCCGGTTCTTTCCATCGACCACGAACACTAAGTCGCCCTCGTTTAGCGGCTTCTGCTCGTCGAACCATTTCGACCGTTGGTTGATCGTCGGCAGATACTCCTTAATCCATCTTTCCCACATCTTGTCGGCAAGATATTGCGAGCGCTTGTATATATTTCGGAGTGCTTCGGCGAAATCCGTAGGTCCACCATCCACCTGCTTGTCGGCACTGGCCACCGTTCCCCGTAGGAAATGATTCGGGGTCAGTGCTTGAGTTTCGACCGAATCCTGCGGCAAGTAGGTCAACGGCCGCATGTTGTTCATATCGGCCGCTTCCGCCAGCGTCGTCACTAGGATCTCGTCCGTCAGCTTCCTTCCGTCGTCCAGTGCACGCATCGCCTCCTTAACCGATCGTACCATTCGCTCCCAGATGCCGCCCATGTGTGGCGTTCCGGGTGGGTTAAAGTGCCAAGCGGTAGCGGGACTG